GGTGACAGACTTGCTTTGGGCTGACCAAACGCTACTCCGTGACTGGGTAGTTACAAAGCTAGGTTTCGGGTTTGTCCAGTCCCATGCTGCGAGACATGGTCAAGCAAGATGGGATTTGCCCCTCCGGTCAGGAGAGATATATTCTAGGCCCCTCGTGTGATCCGACCAGGATAAGCATGGCCATGCGACAAGGATTATGAGATAATCCGGATAGTGGTCGGTATCACTGGAACGAGAAAGAGGTCGGGCTAGCACAAGGATGACAGTCTCGGAGCTCGACGACATATATCATGAGGCAAAGGGAACAGAAGAGCGACACGTTGTACAGGTTCGCCTAACCAGCTTCACAGTCTGCTTGGTGTTCGGCATGCCTTGCTAGAGGCCGCTACCAACCGTGCAGTTCGGAGGTGATCCGAACTGCGACCAAGCCGACTTGAACCTAAGGGGTCGCGCGCTTAAGGGAAGGAACCTATGAGGTCGGTTCGGAGGACACTGGTCGGATGTAATCCGAGCTAGACTTGGAACGCGACCGAGTAGACTTTGGGCTTTAGGGTCCGTGCGAGGCCCAAGTGTTGAGCCTGCGATGGACGCCTATATAAAGTGGAGGTGCGGCACACTCATGCGGTTGATCACTTCGGCGCTGCGACTAGGGTTTGCATGTGTTGCGAATAGCCACCTCCACTTACCGCCGACTGTGTGATCGGACCTAGAAGTCTGCCGCACGGTGTTCCTCCTGCACGCGCGGATACCGATAGAGGCGGTGCACTTGCGCCGCTCCGGCTAACTTGTACGTGGGATTGGACGACCGGCTATTCGAGGGAGATCGGACGAGGAGGAGACGATCCACGCGGACACGCTGCCCCAACTCTTCTTCCACTGCACGGCACTGCGCGTCTAGTGGTAACGAACTGTGATCCATCTCCCGTAGCATGTTCTTGGTTATTCTACGCGTAGGAAAAATTTAATTTGCAGTCGACGCACCTACCGAAGATCCTAACAGCTGCTTCACACACCGCAGGTCATTGACGGTGAGGGGACGGTTGTCCGTGCCCTTGAAATTGGCGATGAACTGGTCACAGAGCTCGCCCCATGAAGAGATCGACGCTTCAGGCAGGTTCATGAGCCAGGGAGCGCACGCCGTCCTTGAGGGCTATGGGGAACTAGTTCGCCTTGACCTTGACGTCGTCGTTTGCCGCCTCGATGCTCAGCGTGTAGAGCTGAAGGAACTCAACGGGGTCGGGAATGCCATCATAGTGTGGGGCAGCTACGGCCTAAATCTCGTGGGCCAATCCACCCGACGAAGCTCACGGGTGAAGGCGTGACAGCCCACACCGCCAAAGGGTACCCCACTGGCGAGGGTGAGTGCCCGACGGCCGGCGCGCTGGTGGTGAGCGCCGGCCATGGAGCTGATGAAGTGGAAGTTGGAGCGGAGAGAGAGAACAGCGGCGCACCCCTACCTAGCGCGCCAAATGTCGAAATCGGGGCTCCAGGGACCCAAGAGGTTCGAACTCTGAGGTGCGCTTGTTCTTACCGCTCTACTCTATTCTGCTACCAACTACGGCGAGGTTGCGGTGAGCGCGAGCTAGCGGGAGCGGACTGGAGACACAATAGTTACCCAGGTTTGGGCCACCTTGCGGTGTAAAACCCTACTCCTGCTTGGTGGTTGGATTGCACTCGCGAGGAAGAAATGAGAATAGAAGTGTTGTCCGGGGAGGATCTCCTCTACGGTGGCACCCTATCCTCCTTTTATACACGCCTTGATCCTCTTTCCCCGAAAACATTGGCGGGAAGGGTTGCCACACAACGGCAATTTTGAAGCGAGATAGGGGCGCAGTCTATCCTGATGAAAAGTGGCCTTCGCTTGCAAAGCCACCATCCATGACGCGCATGTGGGCTCGGTGATGACCTCTGCCCTGCTCGCATGTCGTCCTGGTCTTCTTGCACTGGTCAAGCAACATTTGGGGGTTGCTTTGGGAACCGGCGTGCTGGCCTTGCCCCCTTAGCACAAAAGGGGAAAGCCTCCTCATCCGCACCTGCTGGCACGGCCTCTGGCATCGTTCATCACCGCGCGTGTCACCCACGTGAAGACTCAGGGCCGCGCGGTCGGGCTGAGCGGCCCCTGGCTTGACCGCCCGCGAGAGGGGCCTCGGGAGGCAGCCTCGGGAGACTGTCTCACAAGAGCCCCGCGAGGCATCTTGCTCGTGAAGCTTGCTGGTGGGCCACTCCTTGGGCTTCTTGGTATGCGCCGCTTGCTGGGCCGAAGGCAGACAACGCTGGGTACCCCCAATCCCATGGGCCCGACATCAGTGATTGTTGAGAGTTGATTACTTAATGCTAGCACTGCAGTTTGGACAGTGTCAATGACCGTGGTCATGGTGTCCTGTTTCTCATTGATGGCAGAGACATCATTTTGAAGCAACAACAAGTCCTCTTTCAGTTCATTTGTTTCATCCAGATTTGCGAGCACATCTGCGTTCATGGCTAGCAGATCTGCTACCTCAGCCTCATCAAAACTACGCTTCGAGCGCCCCATGATAGTTGAATTTTTTATAGGAATTTTACTGCCAAATTACCTGGTAAGCCGATCGGAAATCACAACTCTATCACCGCCTTCTCAAATCGCCTCCTAAAAGCAATATTGTTTGTAAATCAACCAGGGATTTTACCTCTAGAGCAAGGTGCGCTAGAAACTTGTTGATCTCAAAGAACTGTGACTAAATGAAAGGTCTACCGCGGCCGCCCGTACCAACTATCACGTCGCCTGTGCCGAGCTTGTCGCCGCATCCAAACAAGGGAGAGGGGGTGGGAAATCTAAAGCTCCTCCAGAGACTCAAGCCGCCAAGGAAAGACTGAGCTCTGAATACCAATTGTCATTGCCCAGAGTTGGAATTGAAGGGGAATTTAGGATGACGAACACGAACTACGGTTGAGAATTGGGGATCGGACCCAACTGAATATACCATCGAATATGACTTATAGCTGTATGTATGCTTGTGTTTGGTGTAATAGAGAATTCTCAGGAATGATAGACGCTTACATACACACAGGGTCGGCTCTTATATAGCCTTGACAATGACTAGAAGGTAGTAAGCAGTGAAAGTAAAGATGAAACCCTACAATAACAGCAAGTGAATACGAGCGGTTAGATCTTCTTTTACTAAGCTTCTGATTGCCGTTGGATAACTGAACCTTCAAGTGTTCTTCTGAAGAATTAGACATTCAGGTTGAGTCTAACAATGGTAAGGGGAGCAGGGGCTCTCAGTTGGAGATGTTCTTAAGGCCCAGTTCTTTTTCCAAAATTTGGGGATCTCCCAAAATCCAACGCCTACCCAGCTTCTCTAGAATCTTTAAGCCCCAGATAGGATTGTAAAACAAATGAGGCTTAAAGATTTCGGGAGAAGCTGAGTAGGGGCCGGATTTGAAAATAATCCCCAGATTCTAACAAAAGAATATTAGATAGGATTGTAAAACAAATGGGCTTTAAAGATTGCGGGAGAAGGTAGAACTGGGCCTAACGTGTCACTGCATGAGCTGTCCGTCCGGGCGCCCCCCTATCCCCTCCGTGCGCCGAAGCAAGGGACGCCCCCAACCCCAATCCTGTTCGCGCGCGGCTCCACCGTCCCGGTTCCCCTTTGTGGCCGGCACCGCGGAGCATGTGCTTCCTCCTGCTCGCCGTTGCTGCCCGCCATCGTCAGCTCCTCCGTTTGCCCGAACAACAGCAACTACGAGGCCGGCGCCTCCGTCCGCCCCTATAACAGCAGCTGCGCGGCCGACACCTCCATTTGCCCCCCAACAACAGCAGGTGCGTCGATGGCGTCTCCAAGGAACTCGCCTCCTTATGCAACTCCCTGGGCGCCGAGGTAGAGGCAGGGATCTCCTGCTCAGACATCACGGAGTGGAAGGCTTAACATAATAGATTATCTGATGGGGATGAAGCTAAATCTTCTGCTGGAAAGGACTTCCCTGCTCTGAGGTGTGCTTTCTTCCTTTTCGTTTTCATTTTCTGCTTTCAGATGGTACTGCTCAGTTGGCAAATTTTGCTTCTGAACTTGCTAGGTTGGCAATTACTGAAACAGACTGCAATCGATAATTTATTGATGGAGACTGCAAAATCATGGTTATTTGCTGGAACGCATTAGACTTATAAAAATATCACTTAGAATTCACAATGAGAAGGGCTATGAGTATGACTGATATGAGAGGTATTGTCTTGTACATTGAAGAGAAAGAAAATATATAAGGTTGAGCAGTGAGTCATTGCCAGGTGGGAGTGTAGTTCCAAGAGTAATTACGGCTCTTCGTCATGTTTATCTATTTATCATAAATTTCAGAATAGTATTACATTTTAATTGGTCCAATGTGCTCCAGCAAATGATTAAAATTGTGCTGTATCCTTCAGTGGATTGTTGATTTTTGCGATGTGCTCGGGAATGCCAACCAATTGTAGAATCAGAGCCAGTTTTGCTTTTCTTTTATCTGATCACTTTCCTAGAACTTCTGTATATTTTATAATTGTGTGTTTGTGTCTCACCATTGTAACCTGGTTCCTCTATAATGCACTGTTGTTTGTGATTTCAAATGTAAACTAGAGCATGGAATGTTGAATAAATTTAGTTCCTGCTACTCCCTTGTACCAGCCTAGAGATTCTTGGTTACATATTATGGGGTAAAATAATATTAATTAAATGAATCACAGTGTGCAATGATTTTAGAATGTTTTTTTTATGTAGCAGCCTAAATTTCTTCATGACTTATTATCAACTTTTTCATGCACTGGACATGACATGAATGTTCATGTCCTGTGAGAGAAATGGTAAAACAAGAATGAAGAGTGCTTTTATCTCCAGATAGTCTGTTTAGCCTCTTTAGTGGGCATCTTTGAAGTTTGAACAACACATCTATGTTAGTTTAGTTTATACTATTTCTTAACTCCATTTTGTATGTAACCTGATGTTATTTTTCAAGGATGGATTGAACTGAATACTGCTAATATTTTCAGTATGTCAGAGATTCAGAATGCTCGCTGTATCATGGATTTACTGCCAGAGATGTTGAATGCTTTAGACCGTGGAAACAGAGAGGTACAAGAAAATTCCATCAACCTGCTTTTAATTCAACCTTCACAAAAATATGGACCACTTATCTTTAGAAAGTTGCAACCAACAGTTGAACATGGTATCCTGATTTGTCACTTTATGGTTTATAAAAGATAATCCATATTTTATTTGCGAAATTTGTCCTTGTTGTGATCACATAGAAATATGGACCAGTTTTAGTTTCAGATATAACCTTGTTGTGATCGCATAGAACTGATTGTACTTGAAAATATGCTTTTGTACTACCACACCACAGAATTTCCCTCAGCCTGCAGCTTTTTAACATGAATAGTGTTATCTGGTATCTTTTCTAATTTTTAATAGTGCAGAGTGTAAACTAATCATTCTTCTCTTAAAATTATGTTCATATTCTATATATATGCACAGGTCTCAATACATTTCTATTTATTTTATGATCTTATTTAATCTAATGATTGATGTGCGGTTTCAAGAGTTTTGCCATGCATCCCCCGTGGTTGTGACTCCACTTCATTAACACACTGAATTTACTAAAGATAAATGCAGTAGAGAAATAAATATTTGAGCTCAGAATGTTACACACATATCTTCATCAGGTTTCAGCATCTCTATTGTTGTTTTTAGGCTGATTAGCTTTGAACCGTATGTTTCCTTTGAAATATTTACAAGTCCATAGCTCTTTATTATTTGTAGAATTGGAGGCGCTTTCTTTAGTTTTCTGCTTCTTCCCACAAATTAAGTAATTCCTTTTCATATTTATCGATACAACCAAGTGGTGAGCTGGTATCTTTTTTTTTCTTGTAACTTCTGTAAGTTGAAGGTGATATTGACTGAAAGAATCTTCAGTGTGTTGCCCCCTTATTGTTGTAACACACGATCTTAGATTTCTTGATTATAAATATTTAGCAGTCATGTGGATGCACAACTGAGCTATATTTTTTTTATTGCGGGAAAACTGAGCTATATTGTTTTCATCTAAATTTTTAGTATTATATGCATCCAACTTGGCTTTTAGAGAAGTTGAGAAGATATGAACATGCAACTTTGGCTACTGTAGGTAATGGTGACAGCAAATAGAAACTATGTGTTGTTATGGTAGTTACGTGTTTATCGAGAGCAAGATTTTCCAATATGCCTATCTGGGAATTAATACCTTGCATAAATATATTCAAGTCTTCAGGATTATTCTACTTATGTAATGAAATTTATGTGCCACTTTTAGCTGGCCAAGATATTTGAGGCCAAGAAGTTGAAGATAGTTCCTAGTTGCCTTGCCATACGCTGTGTTTGTCATCCTCACTGGCGAACTGATCATAATATCATCCCACCAGCGTCCGTCAATGTATGTTTGCGTTGTCGCTACTTAACTCTTGCTGAAGAGGTGTACTTGTGTCTGAACTTTGTTGTGCTGATGATTTGTGATGACATGGATGTGCTGAATAATGTGTGTCATTCACATGCCTGTTTAGATGATCGCGGGTTCCTCTCTTCAATTGGCTCTGTCTTGGCGAGAAGATTTGATGGCAGCTTACTGATTTGACGACAAACAGCCTACTTCAGAGCTCTATGCATATGGACTCATGTAGCTCAGAAGAAAATTTGTTCATTTTGGAACTTCGTGAGTTATTTCCCTATCCATTTTTTCGTTCCTCATCGTTGACACATATGAAGCCTCGGCTGGTTGATTCGTACGTTGTTCAGAGTTTTAGATGTTTGTTTTTATAGCCTGCAGCTTCCACAGGTATTCATTTAACCTCCCATGACAAATATGACGAATTGAAACATTCTCATTGTGCTGTATGGAGGTTGGTCATTTATTCTTTTTTTAGGCTCTATTTGCCGCCCAGCCTCTGAAATGTCTATGTTCATAGGTATCCAGCTACACCTGGAGACACTAGGATCAGGGAAAACTACGCTACAATCATCCTTAAATCTTCCCACCAAAGTGGTAAAATGGTCGAACTCGTTGGTGTTTTTTCTTTGAGATGGAAATTACTGCATTTTATTATTCAGAAATTTTGGCACACTCCTAGAGCACCAAGCCAAGGGTGGCAGACCTGATCATGGGCAGCCCGGCCCGAAAAATGGGCCAGGTTGGGCTCCATTTCGCTGCCTGAAAGTCCATTCTAGCCGGGCTCAGGCTTTAGTTCTGCGGCACTTCGGGCCGGGCTTACACGTGCGCGTTCTGAAAACAACATTTGAGCTGGGCTTTTGGGCTTGTTTTCAGGCCAGCTTGGGCTTGAGGAAAGGGGCAACTTTGGGCTTCGGTGCTGGCTCGGGCTTGTAGTTCGAGGTTCAGGCTTTTTTAAGCCCAACTCAAAACCCGGCCCGACATATGATCAGGTTTACGCGGGGTACATGTAACCATATTTTACAAATTTTATTATTTCTACGACCTTCCTTAGCTAAAATATGTGCTATGAGGGTAGCACACTGAGCGTGTGGTTACCGAAGTGAAAGTCCCAAGCAGGGTTGTAGAGAACCATGTCGAGTTTGACGAGAGTTGGATTTTCACGCTCGTTGCTCCATGTAAACTTCCTATTCTGAAGGTGGATTTCCTTCAGAGAGCAATTAGAGAGAGAGTGCTCCCTAAGAGATCCACTATCCGAAGATTTAGGTTGAGGTTGTTTCCTACCGGCCTCTTGGTAAATGAGGTTAAAGTCACCCATAACCAGCCATATACTGTCACTTGTTAACCTATTATTATACCTTTTCTCTAGTCCCATGAAATTCTCAAACTCAAAGATGGATGCATATGTTGTGTAAATTTTTGCTAAATGGTATCAATAAATAGCGTATCAGCTCCATAAATTTGACATCACAATAATTATATCAGAAATTACTTAATTTGGTGAACTTATTTTATAGGTTGTTCAAAAAGTAGGTGCCAGAAAATTAGCAACATGCTTGATTAAGTAGATCATAATCTAACTTATGAAATGCATCCATACTAAAAGTGAGCAATCCCTATCTTTGAACTTGCCGACATAAGGGTACCGTGAAAAAAACACTTCGTCTTGTCCG